ATGGGTCGGCTCGACCGGAGTGATATAACGGCTTCACAGAAATCCGGCGTGAAACAACCCCAGCGTTGTGTTTCGCCGTGTGAGTGAGGTTACCGGAGGCCCAATCCCTTCCCCTCCCCCCATCCCATCCCTTCCCAATTCTCAAATATCTGAAACCCTAATAGCCAAAAGGCCAGCAACGCATTCTTAACTCCTTTGGTGTTGCGGGTGTCCATGGCCGGCGCCGATCGCTGACCATCAGGTAATGTTGTGTTTCGCCGCGTGAGTGAGGTTACCGGAGGCCCAATTCTTCCCCTTCTACAATCCCTAAATCTTCAAATCTCAAATCATTAAAAGGTCGGCAACGCACTCGTAACTCCTTCGTTGCGGGTGTCCATGGGCGGCGCTGATTGCTTACCATCAGGTAATCCGTCAGCTATTTTGCCGACCTATCTAGTCTATACTAATATTATAAAGAGGTAAAATTTGTATGTTTGTAACCTTGTATGTAAGGGGTAGGTAATCTTTGAAACCGCTGGTCGGATTGCGAAAAATTTCACTGATAGATAGCTACATGTTCCTGAGTGCTATAGGCTATAAAACATCACGCTACGATCAAATGGAGCCGAGCAGCGGGCGAAAGCGCGCGAGAGTAGCTAGTATCTGATAAAAAAAAAACACGGAAAATGGGTGCTACTTAATGTAGATGCCCTGGAAAACCCAAATGTTTTATTAAGTCACATTTATAGCAATGATATTATATTATATGTAGTTTATTATAATTAATTTGTATGTCTGTCACGATAGAACCTTGGCAACTAACGCGCAACGACAAACGCAGTATACTAACTTTTCTTTCAAGTCGGGAAGCGTTTTGTTTTGAATTAGGTAGATGTTTGTAATATATTTAGTATTTTTTAGGCGTTTACTAACAAAGGATTTTGTGGTATACGATGACGATAGAGTAAAGTATGTCTCCTCGTGGGTGTTGAATATCCGAGTTACGAACGAAATCTATAATAATAGGTATTATAAAGAGATAAAATTTGTAAGTTTGTGTGTAGGGGGTAATCTTTGGAACCGCTGGTCGGATTGCCAAAATTCTTTCACCGATAGATAGCTACAATGTTCCTGATTGCTATAGGCTATAAATTAATTACTTATACTTGATTAGGTCGAACTATCGCTTCAAAAAGCTGGTGTTAAAAATACGATCGAATTGAGAACCTCCTCTTTTTTTTGAAGTCGGTTAAAAATACGTTTGATACTAAGCCTAGTATTCCCATGGGTACCGTTTGAACGGAATTAATAACAGATTTTGAACAAAAATCTGTAAATCGATTCTTTTTTGTTGTTTATCAAAAACAACGGGTTATGTGTTTCGAGTTTTTTGCTGTAAGAGGGACTACATATTACAAGGACACATTTGGAGAACCTTTTCATGAGATAGGTCGGCAAACGAGCAGGATTACCTGATGGTAAGCAATCAGTGCCACCTTCTCACCAAAGGAGTGCTTTGCCAACCTTTTGGGGATTAGGGTTTTGGAGATTTAAGGATTGGAAGGGACCAGGGAGGGAAAGAATTACGCCTCCGGTTACTACTTAGTACAACCCTTTTTTTGTCAAGGGAAAATCATCAAATGACTTCTCCCGCCCAGGGTAAAGCGAGAGAGTTTCAGTCTCTTACTGACTAAAAACCCCCCTGTTCCTTCTCCTGCTCTGGGCCGAGGCCGCGGTGACTCATTGCGCTTAACCCGCAACCCCGGCTGACTTGGTACAACGCTGTGGGAACTTGGTACAACAGTTCCTCACGCCGGTTTTCTGTGAGGCCGTGGTATCACTCCGGTCGAGCAGACCCATTCGTGCCGAAGCATGACTCTCTTACTTAGTCGTAATACTAACAAACAGAGTTCAACCACAATCTAATGAACATATTTTTTACTAGCCTGTTTTGTCCCACTGCTGAGCAAAGGCCTCCTCATCTCGCTTCTACACCTCCCGATCCTTCGACCTTTTCCACCAGTCTCGACGATAGGCGTCTAGACCGTCACGCGATCTTTACCGCGGGGCCTACCCCACCTTTAAATGTACAACTAAAAACAATAGTTAAAAACCTGTCGTAACACATTCCCATAACAATTACAGCGTTGTGACACGTTTCTAGATTAATTAACAATAATTAATTACATCGATGGCTTAGTTACGTAATGATGGTAGTCACACCGAACACAACCTTCAATGTAATGCGTGTTACTTTGTTTACAACGGAATATAAATGGGCCCATTAAGTACTAGGCATGTCCTGTGACATCGTCTGTTTTTTTATTAAAATTATGTAACTGTATAGTTATTTGGAGGATGAGTGCGGCTCAGTGGCCATAGCAGACACAAAGAGCGTCAGAAATCGAAGATATTGTGGGTCTTCACGGCGAAAAAACTTCGGACGGCGAAAAAACTTTTTTATTATGCTCGAGCAGACGGATTACTGATGGTAAGCAATCAGCATCGCCCATGGACACAACAAGAGAGCAGTTACGAGTGCGTTACCGACCTTTTGGGGATTGGGAAGGATTGGGCCTCGCTCCGGTAACCTCACTCACACGGCGAAACACAACGCTGTGGTTGTTTTTGTGGCTGGTTTTCTGTGAGACCCTGGTGTTACTCCGGTCGAGCAGACCCATTCGTGCCGAAGCATGGCTCTCCCATACTTCAAACTGCAATAATTATAACCGTAAATCAACATGAATTAAACATTGCTTTCAATTATTTTTATGGTCTATCGGTTAGGGTAATTAATTAAATGTAAGTAAGCAAGTCCACCCGCAAGGTGGACAGACGACCTGATTAAGGTCGCAGGAAGCCGCTGGATGCAGGTCGCTTCCAACCGGCCTATCTGAAAGTCAATGGGGGAGGCCTATGTTCAGCAGTGGACGTCCTGTGGCTGATATGATGATGATGATGATGAAGCAAGCAATCTTGGCAGTATGTATTCAGTTTACAATCGAGTATTTACCTAAATCGATGTTAGCTAATAAACTGAATTAAAATAATCTTTGTATGTATATTATACGATCTCTTTAATATGAAAAGATATAAAATTATTGTACTGATAAACCATAGTAATAATATATATACTTATACTAATATTATAAAGAGGTAAAATTTTTAAGTTTGTATGTAGGGGGTAATCTTTGGAACCGCTGGTCGGATTGACAAAATTCTTGCACTGATCTATAGCTACAATGTTCCTGAGTGTTATAGGCTATAAAACATCACGCTACGATTATATGGATCCGCGCAGCGGGTGAAACCTCGCAAGAGTAGCTAGTAGGTGGTATATAAAACTCTTTCACTGATAGATAGCTACAATGTTCCTATGTGCTATCTATAGGCTATATTTAATTCGTTTACAGGAAATAGTTTCCTAGTGACGCCGTTGAAGCCGCGAAACAGCTAGATAGTTATTTATAGAAAATAATATATTTATCTACACACTTGTAGATACATAATTTAACTTCTAAATATAACTTTTAGGTACTTAACTGTTTTAAATATCAGTATTTATGAATTAATTATACAGATACCCACTCAATTATTTTGTCGTAACCTTTTGTTTCGAATAGGCAAAAGTGTAGGTAGACTTCTTGTTTAAAATGTGTGAGAGCCATGCTTCGCCACAAATGGGTCGTCTCGACCGGAGTAGTCCACAGTCTCACAGAATACCGGTGTAAAACAACTCATACGTTGTATTTTATTTATTTTTATTTATTTAGCAAAAAGTACAATTTTAGTAATAACATTTAGTTCTTATAATTAAAGATCCTCGCCAAACATAACGTTTAACGGCGAGAAGCGCTCATTTGTTTTACTTACTAGCTAATTAAGTACTTTATATAACATTAAAAAACAAAACTAAAATCAAAACAAAAATAAAAAATACACATTATAAAGGATAATCATTAAAGAATGCATTGCCTATGCTCTCTTGAGCAATTCTCCCCTTAGCTTCTTCTTCAACATAAACAAACTCACTTTATTTTTCTCTATTTTATTGAATATTTTTGGCACTATATATTTATTAGTTCTCTTACCATAGTAGTTAATTATTCTAGGTTTATTTAACATATGCTCTCTAGCCCTTCTGGTGTTATATTTATTCTCTACTATACATTTATATTCATTGCTATAATAATACTCTAATCCTATTAAATACTCAACTTTCCTATCTATGGGCAGTATTTTACACAGTGGAAATAGTTTATCATAATCCTTATTGCAGATGTTTTTCTCTTTCCTACTCACTAAGTATTTTATCAGTCTTAATTGTAAATTTTTAATATCCTTTAAGTAAGTTTGGAAAGTACGCCCGTATACTAATAGACCGTAGCTGATAAGAGAGTCGGCAAGTGCGTGGTAAACCATCCTCATTGTGTCTGAGTTGACTATTCTGTGTATTTGGAAGAACTTGCCTAGCACTGTATTGCAAACATCATTTACATGAGTTGAAAAGTTGAAGTTTTTATCAATTTTTAAGCCTAAATATTTAAAGTTGTCGACATATTGAATGACATCACAATTACATCCATGTTTGTTATTATGAAGGCAGTCGTATGTGCGTCCTATTAAATTAATATTATTTTTGTTTGTATTTTTTGCACTTTGATTATATGGTGAGTAAACTTCAAAAAAACACAATGTATGCATATTCGCATACATTGTGTTTTTTTGAAGTTTATTATTATCCCGTTGTCATGAGCCCATTTAGTTATGTTTTCGAAGTCTGTCTGCAAATATCTTTGTACCTGTAATATATCTTTAGATGCATAAACCACGCACATATCGTCTGCATACATAAAAACATGACAATTATACATAAAAACATGATAATTTCGCCATGTGAGTGAGGATACCGGAGGCTTAGCCCTTCCTGGATGCAGATCGCTTCCAACCGACGTATATGGAAATCATTTTTAACTAAATACTACTTATATTTATTGTAATAAAATATTTTTTCTCTTCAGATCATGGCGCCATCTATGAACATCGCAGAGTACTACGCAGGCAAAACGCTCTTCATCACAGGGGCCACTGGTTTCATGGGGAAGGTGATGGTCGAAAAACTCCTAAGAGATTGTTCGGATGTCAAGAAGATGTATTTACTAATGAGACCTAAAAAAGGTCATAGTAGTAAAGAAAGATTGGATGACATTTTAAGTTTTCGGGTGAGTCACGCCATCTAGTGTCGAGTGGCAGAACTGTTTTTATTTTAAAGTATTATATTATATTTTCTATTATGTTTATTGACGTGTTTTTATAGATTTCGTTGTAAAATAGGGTATACAATGAAAGCAAAATTAAAATCTTAATTGAAAAACCCTGGTTATAATTTTAAATGTCTTCAAAACTGTTTCTTTTTTGTTTTTTTATGTTTGATTCTCGAAGTTTTCCAAATTAAATGTACCCAGTTATTATAAATATGACTTTTCATTGAAAGTAGAACTCAAATGAAAATCTATTTCAACACTTATATGTCTTTTTCAATATTTTTTCAACAACTTTTCAGATATTTGATCGCCTGAAAGCAGAAAACCCTAAACTCTTCGAGAAACTACAGGTCGTGGCCGGAGACATATTGTCAGAAGACCTCGGTCTATCGCCAGAAGACCGTCTTCTGATACAAGAAGAAGCGCAGATTATATTCCATTGTGCTGCTTGCGTGAGGTAAGTTTAACTGTTTGGGGGTTAGAGATTTGGGGAAAGGGAAGGGGAAGGGGGAGACAAACCGGCAGACGTATATCCAAACTAATATTATAAATTCGAAAGTAACTCTGTCTGTCTGTCTTTTCTTTACGCCTAAACTACTGAACCGATTTCTGTGAAATTTGGTACAGACATAGTTTGGAACTCGACAAAGGACATAGGATAGTTTTTATACCAAAAATCTGCAGGCAGTCACTATTCCAGGGCAAAAGCTAGGTATTATATAACAGAATCTTTAATTACTTTCAGATTTGACATGTTCCTTCGTGATGCCGTTAAAATGAACACGATGGGTACCAAGAAGGTTTTGGAGCTGGCAGAGGGGGTCAAGAACTTACAGGTAAGGATATCATCATCATCTTTATTACGGCATAAGTCGGTAAACGAGCAGAAGGATTACCTGATGGTAAGCAATCGGCGCCGCCCATGGACACCACAACACTTCGCAGGGCTTTAGGATTCAAGCTTGTTATTTAAGAAGGATAGGGGAGGGGAAGAATTTGGTCTCCAATAAGAGTTCTATTTGGAGAAAAGGGCTTTTGGCAGAAGAATGAATGGAATAGTTTGTAGTCAGTAAGAGTCTTTTTTTTTGTGAGGGGAAAATCATAAATGACTTCTCCCGCCCAGGGCCGGGCAGGAGGGAGTGTCAGACTCTTACTGACTAAAAACCCCCCTGTTCCTTCTCCTGCTCTGTGCCGAGGTCGCGGTACCTCATTGCGCTTACCCCGCAACCCCGGCAAGAGTCTGGCTTTCCTTCTTATGTCACGTAAGTCATGGAATGATGGTACCACTAACAAAATCGTTTGCCGACCTGACACTGATGGTAAGCAATCAGCGCTGCCCATGGACAGTCGCAACACCAAAGGAAGTTACGAGTGCGTTGCCGGCCTTTTAGGGATTAGGGTTTCAGATATTTAAGTTTCGAGAAGGGATGGGTTGGAGGGTAGTGATTTGGGATTAATAACTCTTATTCTCATCACAATAACGTGTTTTTTCCACCACCAGGCCTTCGTCCACGTCTCCACATCCTACTGCCGCTGCGAGCTGCCTATATTTGAGGAGAAGCTGTACCCCTCCAAGCACAGACCTGAACATGTTATGCACTGCGTCAACTGGATGGATGACGAGCTCCTTGGACATTTGCAGCCGAAGTAAGTAATCAGGAATTTATACTCTCTTTTTAAGACTGATTACCTGATGGTAAGCAATTAAAGCGCGCGTTGCCGACTTCTTGTGGTATTTTTTATTTGATTAGTCGGCAAACGAGCAGCCGGATTACCTGATGGTAAGCAATCAGCGCTGCCCAAGGACACCCGCAATGGAGGAGTTACGAGTGCGTTGCCGACCTTCTGCGGATTAGGGATTAGGAAATTTTGGGATTGAGGGTGGCGGAGGATGCTCCGGTAACCTCATTCACACAACGCTGTGGTTGTTTTAAGCTGGTATTCTGTGAGGCCGCCGTGGTATCACTCGGATCGAGCTGACCCATTCGTGTAGAGTTCAGTTACTAAGGATTTTTATCATAGGGAGTTTGCGAATTGAGGCCTTGATTGCTTACTAGCGAATGCTTAATTGGTCTGATCTGGTAGTAACCTTGATAGCTAGGTCCAGGAGAGGAGAGAATCGAAGAACTAATTATTTTAAAATGTGCACCTAATAATCGTGTCACGAGAATTTCTTAGATCGTACCTATATTGCGTCAATTATATGCTTAAGCAGATAGGTTTGCCATGGTGTTTGGTGACTGGGTTTCTCCCAGTTGTACAGTGTCTTCTGTACCTCAAAGGCTTAAGTCATTCTGTCTCCTGCATTTTTTTACCGAGGGAAGTGGAAACTATTTCGTTTTTTCTTCTCCTCGCATAATATTTATTTATTTATTTATTTATTTTATTTATTTATTTAAAAGTTTACAATATAATCTTTACAGGTGTACACCCAATACGTTTTATATTGTTATACATGTCAAACATTTGAGAATAATGAACAATTAAATCCAACCTAAAATTAAGATCATATAAATTAAACTACATAGTCAAAGAAAATAAAGAAACATGTCCAAGAGAAATTAAAATAGAAAAATATTTATCACTTAAAAATAAACATCTTAGAAATGTCACATAAAAATCTTAGAAATTTAAAAAGAAAAACATAACCAATATACATCAAAATAAAAATAATAATTTAATAATTCAAAAGTTTCCACTGCCATTAAAAAATAAATCTTTTTAAGAGCTCCCGCCTAAATCAAATATAATAAATAAAACACAAAATAATTAATTCTTAAACTATCCACATGAACTTAGAATGTCAGTAGTCACTTTTACGAATTCCGCCATTGTCACTATTAATAATATTGTCCGCCAATATCTTCTGATTTATTTCGTTGCGGGATCCAAGACAGTCATTCATGTTTCAAAGCGCGTTGGACTTCAGTGTTCCGGTGTTTTCATGGTTGTATCTAATTGTAGATCCTGGTGTACAGGAGTTGTAGCGGCTTTGGGAGGTTGCAACGGGCATGTCCCAAAAAACATGCTTAAACAGAAATTTGATAGAACAAAAACATTTTGTTTAATATTTTTGTTTCGCAAAATATTCTATCCTACATTAAAACCTCAATAGTCATTTGCCCAACATGATAATCGTGCTCAACGCAGTCTTTTCCGTCTCTGAAATCAATAATCTTACAAATATATCTTTTTTTTTTTCAGAATAATCGAGCCACAACCCAACACGTATGCTTACACCAAGTCTTTGACGGAAGATCTGGTATCACAGTACGAGGGAAAATTCCCCATCGTGATCGCACGGCCATCTATCGGTGAGTAGCGGAACTAATAAGTCATGATTTTTTCCCTTAAAAACATTAAAAAAGGTTTGAAAGCGTCGTACTTGACCACAATTTTAATTTTCTGGTCATGCTGGGGATTCCGGGTGAGTTTTTTTTAATATTGTACGGCGGTAAACAGCCTGACCTGGATTACCTGATGATAAGCAATCGGCGCGGCGTCGCCCATGGACGCCGCAATACCTACCCGGTTTTGGGGATTCCTTATCCTCAAAACCGGGTTCTGTTGGGGATTTAGGAATTGAGGAAGGGTTGAGACGAGGAGGAATTGTGGCTCCGGTAACCTCGCTTGCGCGGCAAAACACAACGCTGTGGTTGTTACACACCAGGTTTCTGTGAGGCCGTGGTATCATTCCAGTTGATCCGAACCATTCGTGCCGAAGCATGGCTCTCCCACACGTAAAACTGTCTGTTCCAGGTATTTATCACATTATATTAATAAAAACCATGTTTTTCAATTCACAGTGGCAGCAGCATATAAAGAACCTTTGCCAGGTTGGGTGGACAACCTGAATGGACCCACTGGACTATTGGTTGGCGCTGGAAAAGGTACCTTTTGTTTTTAAGTTAAAAGGAGCAGACGCGTTACCTGATGGTAAGCAATCGGCGCCGCCCAGGGACATCTGCAAGACTAAAGGAGTTACCTAAGAGTGCTTTCCGACTTTTTTGTTTGGAATTGAAGGTTTGGGGATTCAAGAAAGGAGAGTGCAAGAATTCGAACTGCGGTAACCTTACTCACACGGCGAAACACAACGCTGTGGTTGTTTCACGCAGGTTTTCGCCTCATCCAGGGCAGAAAAAGTAATTTGACTATTATCCTCATTAAAATAAAGACGTGCAGCTATATAAAGTTTCTCTTCTTCAACCGTAAACGGTTGCTTAACCTTGAATACTGCCTTGGTCCGTTTATTTAACTGTTTGTTTTATGAGATAGGTCTTAAAGAGCAAACGGATTACCTGATGATAAGCAATCCAAGCCGCCCATGGACAACCGCAATACCGAAGACATAACGAGTGCATCTAGCAAACTAGACATAGAGATAGATTGTGTCAGCCATTATTTAGATTGGCAAAGGTACACAAGTCGTTCATGGGATTCAGCGTTAAGTGTTATAACAAAATCCCAGGCGAAATACAACAATTAAATGAAAGAAATTTTAAATTATGTATAAAGAAAACTTTGTGTAAAAAAGCATATTACAAACTGAGTGATTATATTGAGGATAAGGATGCTTGGAGACGGGCTGGTCCTGCTCCACAGGATAATATACCTACACGAATATAAATAATGTTCCAGTGGATCTTTGCTTGAACGGAAGTTCTTAGATTTTGTAAATTTGTAACCATGCTATTTTTATTGTTAAACTTGATAAATTTGTAAATGTGAGTGCCCTGTAACCTATTAAAATTAGTTAGACTAGCAGAATGACGGTCCATATGTCAGCTTGGAGTTGTCATGCTCACTCAAAGGTCACATTGGCGGTGGCACGGTCACTGGATCGCTCGATTCCCTATATTATGGTTGAGTTGGGCGATGCTGGTGTACGTGTCATGCTCGTGAACGGGCGCCGTCAATTGGGACTGGTCAGCTCCGGACTGTCTATTGTCCTTAAGGTTATTTTCTTTTTATGTTTCTCTGTATACACGCGTTACACTGTTCTCACATATTCAAACTAACTAAATAATGTATCAAAGAATGTTTATGTGGCACTGATTTTAAAAGAGTAACCATGGAGTTTCTTGCTCGTTCTTCTCCATCGGAATCTACACTTTGGAACGAGCAAATAGCTTCACTAAGAGGACTGACCGACAGACTGACACTTTGTATCTTTAAAGTTGTGTTGACGTTCAAAAGTGCCTGTATGGGTCTAATTGAAATAAATAATTTTGACTTTTGACTTTTGACTTTTGACATCATGCCTTTTAGTGATCATTATGTGATATAGCCACAAAACAGGAACCTATGGATTACCTGATGATGGACACCGCAACACCTTGCTAGCTTTTTAGGGTCCTTGGAGATTTAGGGATTGAGCGAGGGAAAGTATTACGTCTCCGGTGACTTCACTCACACGGCGACAACAACAACAATGGTTGTTTCACGCTGGTTTTCTGTAAGGCCGTGGTATCACTCCGGTTGAGCCGACCCATTCGTGCCGAAGCATGGCTCTCCCACAATTAAACACAATTGTTTTGTTTATTTCCAGGTGTAATTCGGACAATGCACTGTAATGAGAACTATGAGGCTGATGTGGTGCCTGTCGATGTGACGGTGAACGCCTGCATCATTCTAGGATACTTGACTGGCATGGAACAGTGAGTCAAAGTCATTTCTTCCAAAATCTTAATCACTAGCCGATCTCGCGCGGATTCAGCCGCTGTTCAGCTCCAGTTGTTGCGTGATGGCATTTTGAATGCAGGACATTTTCAAGAACCCGATAAGTACTGGTGCCCTCATTTTAGCTCATCATCATCAGCCTATAAGTGCCAACTGCTGAGCTCTTCTTACACGAAGAAGGTTTGAGCATTAACCACCACGCTTGCTCAAGACGGATTGGCGATTTCAAACTTATAGTTAGAAATTATAAGTCCAGGTTCCCTCACGATGTTTAACTTCACCGTATGTCAGTGGTGGCTAAATAATCATAGAAAGTACATATAACTCGGAAAAAGTCACATTGGTACTTGCCAGGTTTTAAACCCGCACATCATGCATGATAAGCGGGCGCCTTAACCTTCAGGCCACCACTCTTTGTAGGTACCTAACGTACCTGATTGGGCAAACTCTGTATCAGCTTAGCGTCTCAAAATAGACTAATATTTGAAATTTAAATAATGAAAATTTTTAAATATATATATATATATATATATCGTAAATTGATAAACTTACTGAACTCACTCGTAAAATAATAAGTAAGCAGTAAGCAAACGCTACGCGCGATCTGATTGGTTCGCTGTCACGTGTCACTTCTTCCTCGCGGCCGCCATTGCTGGCCACGGAACTGTATTTTAGCAAGTAACTGCTAAATAGCTTATTGAAATTGATAATAGAAAATTCAACTCACTACATCCGAGCCAGAGAGGAACCAGGCATTGTTGCTTCCAATTTATAGTTTGTCAAGTCTGATTATTCCAAAGTCTATGGACACAAGCATTGCCACTATGAACATTGACCAATCAGAGAGCAGTGTGTTATTTTACGTATTTCAAAGATCGTATATTTAAAAGAGTTTCTGTGATTGGTCGAACCATATAAAATCTTACGAATAGATATTCGTTAGTTTATAAATTTACCGTATGACGTCGGAAATTGATAAATTTACGAAAATGTGGACGTAAAATATTACAATTTATCTCCCGTTTAGAATCTTACGAAAGTTTATAAACTTCCTAGTAAATTGATAAACTTACGGATCTTGTTATTTTCCGGTGACATATATATATTTAAAAACAACAACAACATACAGTCGGCAAACGAGCAGACGGATTTCCTGATAGTAAGCAATCGGCGCCGCCCATGGACACACCCGCAACACCAAAGGAGTAACGAGTGCGTTGCTAGCCTTTTGGGGATGGGGGTTGCGGATATAAGGATTGGGAAGGGATAGGGGACGGGGAGGGATTGGGCCTCCGGTAACCTCACTCACATGGCGAAACACAACGCTGTAAGTTGTTTCACGCCGGTATTCTGTGAGGCCGTGGTATCACTCCGGTCGAGCCGACCCATTCGTGCCGAAGTCCTAATAAGACTTGTATAACATTATATATGCTAAAAAAAATAATTTTGTTTCATACATTCACGCTTTATGACCTTTCAAACCTTCCCTGAACTCCTGCAAATATTTTAAAAGTAAAATTAGCCAAATCGATTCAGCCGTTCCCGAGTTTGAGCGGGACTAAACTTACGAAAATTTCATCTATACTCACATATAAATAAAATTGGAGTGTCTGTTTGTAATTTTGGAATAACCGATCTTCATTAAATGCTTATATTTATTAATTACACGAATTAAGGTACACCAAATAACATTTTTAAAATTTTTTGTCTGTCTGTCTGTCTGTCTGCTTGTTCCAACTTAACAATGAAATGGCTGAACCGATTTTGAACAGAGTTTTTGGGTTAACTTCTTACGATTTCTTCGTATGATCTATACTGAAGTGAAAGAAGGCCATGTGAAAATTAATAACTACAAATATAATTTTGGTTACTTTCAGGCCGAAGAAGATAAATTTCTGCAACATTACACAGTCTCAAATCAACCCCATCACGTGGGGCCAGGCCTTGGATATGGGTAAGTTATCATTATCATCATCATCAGCCTATAAGTGCCCACTGCTGAGCAAAAGCCTCTACTCACACGGAAAAAATTTGAGCATTAACCACCACGCTTGCTCAAGGCGGATTGGCGATTTTAAACTTACAATTAGAAATAAGTCCAGGTTTCCTCACGATGATTTGCCTTCACCGTATGTCGGTGGTGTCTAAATAATCATAGAAAGTACATATAACTCGGGAAAAGTCACGCTTATGCATGAGAAGCGGGCGCCTTAACCTCAGAGCCACCATGACATTTTCTGTTATAATAGCCAGTAATTGTCTTACTTATGGGCAAACGCCTCCCTAATTACCTGATGGTAAGCAATTTGAGGGCGCCCAAGTTACAAGTGAGTCACCAGCTATGGATGAGAAAAGGGGATTTGGCGAATGGCGATGCGTGATTGAAGTTATCGGAAGAGCAGTCTTCCAAAGTCTTCCAAATCTTAAGTCTTCAAATCCCTGTACCTATAACACTGGCTATGCACTTCAAATTCCTTTATCATGAGGGTCATGGGCGACGCCGCTTGCTTACCATCAGGTAAACGTTTGAATGACCGAATGATCTTGTTCATTTCTTTGCTTTACTTTTGCAGGTCGTGTCCACGTCCAAGAGTTTCCATTCACAGTCTGCCTCTGGTACCCTGGTGGATCTCCCAAGAGTTCCTGGATTGCCCACCAACTAGCACTGTTCTTCACACATATGCTGCCAGCCTATTTCGTAGATCTTCTCATGTTTCTGATGGGGAAAAAGACTTTGTAAGTATTTTTTATATAAAAGACGGCAAACGATTGCCTGATGTTAAGCAACCCCAAAGGAGTTGGCGGTTTAAGGATAAGGGTTTTGGATATTAAAGGATTGGGAAGGGATGGGGGAAGGAGTAGGGATTTGGCGTCCGGTAAGGCCGTGTGGTTGCGGTATGACTCCGGTCGAGCCGACCCATTTATAGCCGAAGCTTGCCTCTCCCACACGTCAATGTAAAATTTTTGTTGACAGAAGTTTGGAGCATTTTTTTAAAGTGGTTTTCGTCCGTGTGTTTCTTATCTTTTTTATGTGATTGGCCACCCTACGATCAGTTGGATTAACCAAACTAATATTATAAATGCGAAAGTAACTCTGTCTGTTTGTGTGTCTGTCTGTCTTTTCTTCACGCCTAAACTACTGAACCGATTTCTGTGAAATTTGGTACAGACATAGTTTGGAACTCGAGAAATGACCTAGGACTGTTTTTTTTTACCAAAAATCAGCAGGAAGTCACTATTCCACTCGAACAGAGTCGCGGACAAAAGCTAGTCTGATTAGTGGCAAACTTGGCAGGACTTGAACAACTAGAACACAGTTGGCGCAGTGGCTGGTCAACTGGCTGCCGCGCAACGTGTCGCATGTGCGATTCCCGCACGTAACAACTCTTTGTGTGATCCACAAATTTTTGTTCTGGAAGTGATGTGCATGTGAAATTGTATGTTTGTAAACGCATCCACGACACAGGAGAAAACCTTAGTGCGGGGCAACGTTTTATATAAAAAAGAACTTGAAAGACATCTACACCACAATTACTCATTAAAATCAACCTTTTCCAGCATGATAAAGATCCAGAAACGGATCAACTATGGGTTGGAGGTGTTGCAGTACTACACCACGAAGGAGTGGCACTTTAAAAACGATTACTTCATCTCCCTACAGAACAGGATATCAAAACGGGATAACGAGGTCTTCTACACTGATATGAAGGTAAGATAATTAATTTTCTAAATAGATGAACATAATACTATTTTCAGATGTGGTCGGCAAACAAACAAAAACTTTACCTGATGGAAAGCAATCAACGCCGCCCATGGACAATCGAGACAACGGAGGAGTTACAAGTGCGTTGCCGACCTTTTGGGGATCAGGGATTTGGAGGTTTTGCGATTGGGAAGGGATTTGGGGAGGGGAAGGATTAGGCCTCCGGTAACCTCATCATGACGTATGAGAAGAGGCTCAGCAGTACGCCCTTAGGGGCTGATGATAATGATATGCTGTAAAGTAAATATTAGTGTTACACTGTTCTCACATAATTGAACCAACTGTTTGTAAAAGGAATCTGTATGTAAAACTGATTTAAAAAGAGTAACCATGGAGTTTCTTGCTCGTTCTTCTCCATCGGAATCTACACTTTGGAACGAGCAAATAGCTTCACTAAGAGGACTGACACTATATCTTCAAAATTTTGTTTGACGTTCAAAAGTGCCTGCAAGGGTCTAATTGGAATACATATTTTTTTACTTTTGAAAGGAAAACATCTTTCGGGTACCCTAACTTAGAATTTTAAAATAGTCAATGTGCCTTAGCTATCGTAGTGGTTAATGTTCAAACCTTCTCCGTGTGAGAAAAGGCTTTTTCTCAGCCGTGGGCACTTATAGGCTGATGATGAATTGTTTAACGAGGTAAAACTCGAGGGTCACCAATGCGCTGGTGATGGCTCTACTGTTGTAAGAGTACTTACGACTTAGAAATTTGCTTACCATCAGCTTTTCACCAATAAAAGTTCTAAAGATGATGCTTCTATATTTCAGGAGATGGACTGGAGTCAGTACATTAGGAACTACATCAAGGGAGCCAGGGAGTACTGCTGCAAGGAGGACCCATCCTCTCTGCCCGCAGCCAGGAGGTTACAGAAACAGTGAGTACTCTTTTTATGGGTTAAAATCTGCGTGAGTCTGCGGACGGCGAATAAGTGTAGCTCGCCGGCCGACCAGAACCAGACCCGTGCGTAAGGCGCGTTGCGTTCCGCGCGCGCCTCAATGAGCCAATAGACCACCACAGACGAAGCCCTATAGGGCTGATGTTCAGCCGGGAGTAAATACAATGAAGCACCGCGGCCTCGGCCCAAAGCAGGAGAAGGAACAGGGGGGTTTGTAGTCAGTAAGAGTCTGACACTCCCTCCCATCCCTCTCCATGGGCGGGAGAAGTCATTTGATGATTTTTTTTGTGAATTTTACTAATATTATAAACGCGAAAGTGTGTAAGTACGGATGGATGTTTGTTACTCTCTCACGTAAACACTACTGAACGGATCTGAATGTAATTTGGCTAAGAGATAGATTATAGTCTGGAATAACATATAGGGTTTTTACCCTGGTTATGTTTATGAAGCTGGTGACAGAAGCTAGTAAGTATGTTACAATGTCTTGTAAAAATTACTTACTCTGAAAAATGCTAACTTATATTTTTTTTATCCACAGATTATACTACCTGGATAAAGCCGTGCAAATCATGGTTGGATTACTAGTCTCATACTTCATATATTATTATTTTAATATGTTATATTCTGTGATCAGTTCGTAATAAATAAATTAATTTAAATATTAATTAGTATTAAGTTAAAAAAACACTTGAACCATATAAATATTAATTAAAGATAATGTTGAGTAAACAGCAGCTCATGTAGTGTAGATTTCCAGTCAACAAGGATGTAGCGAGGTTGACTGTCCAGGCGACACACGTACTTAGGTATCGTCATGAGCTAATGTTCACATGTAAACAGCAGCTCATGTAGTGTAGATGTCCAGTCAACAAGGATGTAGCGGTGACTGTCCAGGCGACACACGTACTTAGGTATCGTCATGAGCTAATGTTCACATGTAAACAGCAGCTCATGTAGTGTAGATGTCCAGTCAACAAGGATGTAGCGGTGACTGTCCAGGCGACACACGTACTTAGGTATCGTCATGAGCTAATGTTCACATGTAAACAGCAGCTCATGTAGTGTAGATGTCCAGTCAACAAGGATGTAGCGGTGACTGTCCAGGCGACACACGTACTTAGGTATCGTCATGAGCTAATGTTCACATGTAAACAGCAGCTCATGTAGTGTAGATGTCCAGTCAATTGGTATTGAAGTCTAGTTAGGATTATATTTGTGAATTTATGCCAATATTGGAATACTTTAAAATCTATTTAATCCCCACCCATATTGAATTAGTATGATGTTAGGAAATATAAACTCCTTTGGTGTTGGGAGAGTCCATGGGCGGCGGTGATTGCTTACCATCAGGTCATCCGTCAAAATACCTAATGTAACCTTGTATATAGCTATTATAATCATTATGTAATATATACTCTTTTATTAGTATAATTATTTAATATAGCTACTATCGCGCGGTTTCACCCGCCTCTCTACTCCGTTTGATCGTAGCGTGATGTTTTATAGCCTATAGCACTCAGGAACATTGTAGCTACCTATCAGTGAAAGAATTTTGGCAATCCGACCAGCGGTTCCAAAGATTACCCCCTACATACAAACTTACAAATTTTACCTCTTTATAATATTAGTATTGATGAATCAAGTACCTATATTATTTGAATTGTTTTTTTTTTATCATTATTGTACCTCAATATACTGAATATATTATGTAGGTATTATAATAAAATTCTTAGGTATTAAAATTGTAAAATAGTTTTTTTTTTATAAATAAATAAATTAACTTACTACACTATACAATATACACGTTAATTATTATTGATAACGTATTAATGTAAATTGGAATATAAAAATAAAGTTTTTTTTTAAAATGCGTTGTGTTTTTTTTTTCAATTCTTTTATAGGTTTATACTCTTTGGTTTTTAAAGAGATCAACAACCTCTTTTGGTGGTTATTTTTTTATGAGATACGGTTGTAAAAGAGCTGATGGTAAGCAATCAACGCCGTTCATTGACACCCGCAACATCGGAGGATTTGAAAGTGCCTTGTTGGCGTTTGGTGATACGGGTTTTGGGGATTAGGGATTCGAGTGGGATGGGGATAGGGCGTCCAGTAACCTTACTCATCAAAACAACGCTGCGGTTGTTTCATGCCGGTTTTCTGTGAGTCCGAGGCACACCGGTCGAGTCGACCCATTCGTGCCGAAGCTTGGCTCTCCCACACTCAAGACAGTGAAAGGACTGAACATTAGGTCTCTGATTTGATTTCTGGAAAGTAGAGTAAATAGCAGAAAACTGATCTGTTTCAAAAAAAACATACACATCACACGCAGACCCGGAACAACAATTAGTGGATCACACAAAGAGTTGTTCCGTGCGGGTACCGGACTCGCGACAGCCAGTTGCCCAGCCACCGCGCCATACTCCTCAACCACTGCGCATTGAAGCGAGTATTAATTTCCTAAAACTAGTTCTAAATCTAACCGCCATAAAACTGTTATTAAATAACAGTTAGTTATATCAATGTTAAGTAACTCGAGTTCATTGTGTTAATTACCTAACTCTTACTAATTGGTTTTAAATAAACTTAGAAAGTACCTACAAATACCTAAGTTGGAAGAAAAATGTCTCATATTGGTAGGTACAAACTAGCCTGGTTTCAATCCCGCTCTACCTGCATGGGGAACAAACACCGGAGCCCAGAGGTTAAGGAACCCGCTTCTCATGCATGAGGGTCCGAAACCTGGCAAGTATCAATATGACTTTTTCCGAGTTATATGTACTTTCTGTGATTATTTAGACACCACTGACATACGGTGAAGGTAAACATCGTGAGGAAACCTGGACTTATAAGTTTGAAATCGCAAACCCGCATTGAGTAAGCGTGGTGAATAATGCTCAAACCTTCTCCGTGTGAGAAGCCTTTGCTCAGCAGTGTGCACTTATAGGCTGATGATGATAAAATTAAGGAATTAGGTAGAGATTTGAAGGGATTTGGAGGCAGGAAAAATTAAAAGGTTAACAACCCCTTTTGATATAGATTTTTATGAGATACGGTTGCAAAAGAGCTGATGGATGACCTGATGGTAAGCAATCGACGCTGTTCATGGATACCCGGAACATCGTGCGTTGTTGGCGTTTGGGGATACGGGTTTTAGGGATTAGAGGTGGGCAGGGGTAGGAATTACGCGCCCGATAACCTCACTCACCGAAATACATACAAGGGTGTGGTTGTTTCACGCCGGCTTTCTGTGAGGCCGTTGTATCACTCCGGTCAAGCCGACCCATGTCTCTTCCACATTCGAGAAAAACAATGCCAAACGCCCAACGACAATGTTATTGGCGTAGTCAAATTAAACAATAAATTATTTTTTTATAAATTGATCGTAAAATGACACTTAAAAAAGATCTAGATAAAAACGGCATTTCCTATCTGACTACTTTTTGACTTTCAATGAAACAATGAAAATATTATTATAATTTCGTGATGAATCATGACTACATCTACGGTAAACATATTTTTTCTGTCTGGGTGTGAAATACCCAGGGGAAGAGCAGGGGTGGTAATAAAATGTACCGATGTGAAATACAAAAAATTGCACTTACTATTAAAACGTTTAATAAAATTAATAGTGAATAAATCACCTAGGTACTTACATAATATTGTTATCGCTCAATTTTACATAGACGTACTTACATATTAATCAAAGTAATTTATTTACATATATATTGTATTCCTATATGGATAATTCGACACGACACTTCAACGGCTCGACCTTACCGATGAAATTGCGTATTTTTCCTACTTACTGCTTAGAAAGAATTATCGAATTCGATGCAGTCGTTCGGGAGTTATAAGCGCACAAACATACTTAGGTACATATTTTTTTTTACATTTCTGTGATATTCGGATTTGTTTAAAGGTTTTCACTCTGTCTCCTGCGTTCAAATCGCCGAGGGAAGTGGGAAGTATTTATTTTTTGCTTCTCCTCAAATAATATCTTCTGATTTATTTCGTTGCGGAATCCAAGACAGTTTTTCATGTCCCTGAGACGTCCCGGACTTTAGTGTTTCGATGTGACAGTTTTCCTAAGCAAGCCGAAGGTCGGCCGAAGAAAAAAATCCTTTAATATTAATTGTTTTTCGCAGTAACTTCATAAGTATAGGAGAGCCATGCCTCGGCACGAATGGGTCAGCTCGATTTTTATGTAATTGTGTGGGACTAAAAGTAGTTTATTCGGCCAAATCCCCATAATCGCTGCAACTCCTGTGCACCAGGATCTACAGTAGATACAACCATGAAAACACCGAAAACTGAAGTCCTACAAACCAGGGATTTGAATGACTGTCTTGGATCTTACAACGAAATAAATCTGAAGATATTATTTAAGTCTAGATGAGAAAAACGAGAGGCGAGAGAGAGTGTCAGACTCTTACTGACTAAAACCCCCCCGTTCCTTCTCCTGCTCTGGGCCGAGGCCGCGGTACCTTATTGGGTTTTTCCTACCATCGGCTAGAGAAGGAACTGACGATCATCGTGCATGCTGTAGGTATGCAAGTCATCAATATACATGACGTATCATCATTTTAATGACCCATCAATACATCATGAATGAACATAAAGACGATTAAATGATTTGTAGTCATTTTATCTACTGTAGTCTATCAAGTTTTTTTCTGAGAGTAAAATCATCAAATGACTTCTCCCGCCCAGGGTAGGGTTTTAGTGTAGGAGAGCCATGCTTCGGCACGAATGGGTCGGCTCGACCGGAGTGATACCACCGCCTCACGGAAAACTGGCGTGAAATAACCACAGCGTTGTGTTTCGCCGTGTGAGTGAGGTTACCGGAGGCCCAATCCTTCCCCTCCCCCAATCCCTCCTCAAACCCTAAATCTCCAAATCCCTAATCCCTAAAATGTCGGCAATGCACTCGTAGCTCCTCCGTTGCGAGTGTCCATGGGCGGCGCTGATTACTTACCATCAGGTAATCCGTCTGCTCGTTTGCCGACATATTACATAAAAAAAGGGTAATTGACTTATGCTGTTAAACAATTTTTTTACATAATTTATGTAGAATATTTTTGTCATACATAATTTCTAACTTTAAACATTAAGGCTACGCACGCGACGGGAACTTAAAAAAGGGAGTAACTTCTCCCGTTTTCCCAACATTTCCCTTCACTACTCTGTTCCTATTATTTGTTGCGTGATGAAATGTATCCTATAACCTGCCCAGTAGTATAAAGAATATTTGTACGAAGTTTTATTAAAATCCGTCGAGTAGTTTTTGTTTCTATAAGGAACATACAGACAGACAGACAGACAGACAGACAAAAATTTTACTGTTTGCATTTTTGGCATCAGTATCGATCACTTATCACCCCCTGGTAGTTATTTTGAAAATATATTTAATGTACAGAATTGACCTCTCTACAGATTTATAAATAAAGATAACATCCATTAAATAATGGAGGAATGTGATTAAATAATCAGCAGTGTGATTCTATAAGACTTCATTCTAAACTTCGAATCTGAATCCGCTGTGAGTAGTAGTACACTAGCGCTACACTTGCGAGTTGAACTAAATTGACCGCAACATTTTGATAGATAAAGTATGAGATGAAGTTAAAAGTGGCGTTCTAAAATTTAATTTCCCCATCACTTCGACGCTCATTTCGCACTCGAACACGATTCAAAATCAAACAAATTTTATAGAATCGACGTGCAACATTGCTTCCGTGTTAAGCCGGGGCAGGTCGCTGGTGTTCTATACCTAAATATAAAATCTGTAAAGCAATTGGTTTAATTTCTTACATCATTTTATAACCTAAAATCTTACATATAACCGATTAGGGAAATTCCTTACCTTTATAAGCACTTAAATACATATTAACTTAACTTTCTCTCGATTAGTGCCCCAATAATTTAGTGTTCTTATTTACAATGGATTATTAAGGCTTATCCAGGTTACCTATATCTATACTAATATTATAAAGAGGTAAAATTTGTAAGTTTGTATGTAGGGGGTAATCTTTGGAACCGCTGGTCGGATTGCCAAAATTCATTCACTGATAGATAGCTACAATGTTCCTGAGTGCTATAAAACATCACGCTATGATTTAATGGAGCAGAGCAGCGGGTGAAACCGAGCGAGAGTAGCTAGTTCGTAATAAAAAAATAATTATTTCGGAGAGTTTGTGGGGGAACTGCACGAATTGATCCCCCTAGTCCTGTCTGCCATCGTACCAACAGACAATGGTTTAAATGTCACGTAAAATAATACACCCACACGCAGAAAGCGATTTGCCTTCAGATTGTTTTTATGAAAACCGCTAGGCAGTGGAATTCTTTGCCGAAGTCTGTGTTTCCTGAAGGCCTTGGTGTCATCAATGTCCTAATCAACAAGAGGCTTATTGGTAGGAAAGAAGAAAGAAAATACATTTATTTAGACACGCACAGGACATCAAGTTAAGTGTGGGAGAGCCAAGCTTCGGCACGAATGGGTCGGCTCGACCAGAATGATGCCACGGCCTCACAGAATACCGGCGTGAAACAACCCACAGCGTTGTGTTTCGCCGTGTGAGTGAGGTTACCGTAGGCCCAATCCCTCCCCTTCCCCTATCCCTTCCCAATCCTTATATCCGCAACCCCTATCC